TATTATTATTATTATTACTATTATTATTATTATTATTACTATTATTATTATTATTATTACACAGAGATAGGAGATGTTGAGAGAGAAACACATGTTTACATGCTATTCTATCATGTATCTATATTATTCATTGCAACATATATGTATGTACACGCACTCGTATGTCTGCTCGTGTAAATGTATACCTTTAAACAACAAAAAAATCAATGGAAGCAGAAGGAGAAAATATATCGATATAGGGGCGTACGTTATTATTTTTCTTTTTTTTTTTTGTTTGTTCGTTCGTTCGTTCAATTAACTCGATACCGAAGAAAAGAAATGTACATTTCGCGCGTGCACGAATAATGGCCGTGCACGCGTTTTTACGTCGACATATATACGTATATGTATACCACATACATATATATATATATCTATACACATACATACTTCTCCATACATACACCACCATTGTTTTCTTTTTTTTCTCTGTCGAGAGTGGGACGCGGAGAAAAGACTCGCGCAGAGAACGGGCCTGGGGGAAAATCCAGATCGATACAGGGGGTGGTCTGTGTTTCGGGGATGCAGCAGAGAGGAGCGACCCTTTGCCCCATGGCGACCTGAATTCGACTGTTGCCGATTTCTCGGAATTTTGCAGCTCTTTGTTACCAGCAGCTGACAGCGAATCGACAGCGATCGGCGGCAGTCAGGGGCGAGGGGTCGACGAGAAAAAAAAAACGGAATAGGGGCGCGAAGGGGACGATGGGGACGGGGAAAGAAAGGAAACGAATTCGACCGCGGACGAGGGTGGATGAATCAGGTTTCACCGATCGGTGGAAACGTTAACGCTATCATATAGAAGGGAAACCGAACGATGCAATTTCTCAATGGTATTTCGACTCTTAGCCGATAGTTCTAGCCTTTAGTTGATTTCGACACGCTGTTCCTTGGAGACTGAAACCTAACACATAGAAAAATTTCGATTGTTCGTTAATTAGACGTATATACACGCGCGAGTTTAAGAGTATTAATCATTGTATTATATGGACCGTACGAAAAATTGGGCAACCATTTTCGACGTCGAATTCCCCCATAAAACCCCGCCTCGAGCTATTCTTACCTGTCGTCTGCCACTTGCAGTGTTGCTGGGCTGCAGGCTAAGACGTGACGTCACCGGCGTTCCCATCACGTGTCGAGGTAAGGAGTAGCAAGTGGGAAGAGGAGTTTGCAACTACGGTACAGTCCTGGCCGTCGGTGACGTCACGTTTTACCCGGCAGCCAAGCAACGCTGGCCACTTGTTTGTTCTGCAGTTGATACCGCCGCTGCGGTGCTCTACTTTGTTACCGTGGTACCATCCTGCACGCGATTTATCGGCGCAATTTATTACCACTTATCGCCGCTCTCTTCGAATCGTTGCTCATTACACCGCGGCCTCCAGTTTCTTGGTTCGCGGGCAAAACGTTACGGCAGCGGCTGGTCCGTCGACGAGAACACACACAGAGACACGATGCACGCTCCCGTTCATAAATCATCGGACTCTCTAGCAAACGTGCAGCAACACGGTCACATCCATCTTACAAAATTTTGTTACGTAACACGGGTAACCCGAACCCTTGTCGCGCACCGTGTGCAACCAGACCCGGGCAAAAATATTTCAACTAAGAGAAACAAATGTTTGCAAATCTGCATTTCTCGACCGTGTTACATATGCTTCGCTCGAAATGGTCATTTATTTCTGTTTCGAATAATGGTATACCAGCTGAAATACTTCATCGTTATCACGAGCGCATAATAAGTAATTGAAACATATATTTTACAATATTAACGTGAAACACTTCGTTGAAATAAATATTTTCTGTACTGCGCGCGAAATGAAATACTTTGATATTATCTCTCTGTTAATTAACAGAACTGTATGAATGTGCTCAGTTTTCAACGTAATATTCGTTTGTATTTTGTCTATGGGTTCGTTGTCTCTCGTAAATATTAATCGTGAGAAATAGAATTTGAAATAATTGGTAGAAATTTAGACGAATTTCAAATAATTATTTCAAGTACGTCTTAAGAAAATATTATTTCAAATAATTATTTCTTGAATATTAAGAAAATACTATTTCAATGAATTATTTCCACTTTAAAAAAAGCTACAGTTACAATGAATAATTGCAACTATATTTTCAACGCGAGTACTTATCCCAACGGCGTCAAAAATGAATCTCGAAATATTCTCTCACGCCGACAGAAGTATTTCATCAATTATTTCCAATACTTTGATCAAATATTTTTGCCCAAGGTCTGATCTCAATCTCCGCGACACACCGATTGTACATCGCAAAAATCCCGCTTCCTAGATTTACGACGTTCTTGGTTACTTTCCAATTAACGTGGGTCCATTGCGGAGAGTATCACACACATACACACACAGTTACAGGTAGTTCTTTTGATAAATCTGAACGTTGTTCACACAATGCGTACGCGCGAAAGTAAAGAGGATCTGTAGCCTGTCCCTCGAAGGGGTGGTCCTGCGAACGCTTCGACGGCCGCAATCCGGCTTTCGAGAGCAGGCCCGACGAATCGCGTTCCTACGCAAAAAAAAGTTCGCATTTCTCCGGAAGAATCACAGGTGTCCGGTGCGGCTTGTGATGCCGCAGTGTTTGCGCGCGCGCGCGCGCGTGCACACACACGTACGTACCGATGATCGGTCGTCACATTTGCAGCCGTACAAACTCGCGCGATCGTCCCGTTCGTTCGTATCGGCGCTGTTTACGTTGTTTACAAGCCTGCGATCAGTTTCGACGGAGTTGAAAGAGTAGTCGCAAATCCGCGTCGTTGGACGAGCCACGAGTTGTTAAAGAGAGAGAGAGAGAGTTTGGAAGTTAATGGGAAAGGCAGAAATGTCGTGGGGTGGCTGCTAACAATATCTCTTCGGTCCGCTACCTTTTTGGAAGACGATTTACTCGCAGCACGCAGGGGATACACTTAGGATTTTAACGAAGAAAACAAAGGAATAGGGGGATGTGGAGTATGGGCACGCGACTCACGGATGTTTTTTAACTGCAGAAACCGCGACGACGAGACGCGGAACGGATCGTTCGTAGGAAGCATTTCTCGGATATAATAATATACCTCATCGTGATTGTAAAAACGATTAATTGTAATCGGCCGTGGCTATCGGCGAGGCGACAGGCTGTTTCTCCTTTGTTCCTCGAGTTCCTAAACAGAGACGTCGGGCCCTTTCGTGATAATAAGTCCCTTCTCGCATCGTTAGCCGATACATCGATCCACCATCCCCCCACCCAAATCTATACTTTTTCTCCTCGCGGGGTCGTGAATCTGTGTACTATAAAAAACCGGCGGGAGACACGCGCGTTACGTTGTATTTTCACGTGGTTACATAAACTAATTACGGTGTTATTCCTCTTAACGATAAAGATTTAACCGGTAAGGGATAACGTTACGAGTTTTCACGCAATATATAGTTAAGCACAGACGGGAAGAGCAAGAGAGAAAGAGAGAGAGAGAGAGAGAGAAAAAGAGAAAGAAAGAGAGAGAGAGTGACGCGTTCGCATCCGGTCAACTAAACTCCGCCATTTCGATTGAATCGTCCGGCAGGTTCGTGATCGCATTACCAAACTACAGAATTCCCAGTTTTTTTTTTTAGAGAGAGAGACATGCTTGCGATAACAACTGGCATCGAATTTTATTCAATTCCGAGTCCGAGTCCGGTGGAATGGAAAACGGCGACATCGAATGTTCGGGTTTTTATGCTGGCACCAGTGCCGCGAACTTTTTATTTTGGGCGATCTTCGTCTCGCGGTTATGACGGTATAGTTACGTCTGTTAATTTTATGGATCACGCGAAGGTAGTGTTTTAATTTTGTCTGGCTTGGTAGAAAGAGGCTGTGATAATCGAGCTTCAGAAACTTGTTCGGTATTTGTCACTTAATTTATAGAAAATCCTAATTTTTTTGTTACAAGTTTACAGATACAGCTTTACATTTCTGAATAACCCTAAGTCCACCGAGGCTTCGAAGTAACTAATCTGCGTTGCTTTTTTTTTAGCGATGAAGAAACTGTATTTATTTAGACGTTTCGTCATTTTTCTTGTAACGTACGCTTGGATTAAGACATTTGCTCGATCGTTTTAAGCCGAAAAAGAGTAGACAGATTCAGGAAAAAAGCATTGAGATCGTTCACGAGAGAAATTCTCTTTCTGTGTTTTTATAATTTTTAACGTCTACGTTTTAGTCCGGAATCTTATGTTCTTTAATCTTCCGCGAACCAGGTGATAGAAAGCAAATGAAAACAAAAAACCCTGAAACATGATTTTAATTACATTACCGAACATTACCCACCTACGGGTGTTCCTTCGTTCTCGTAACAAGGACAGACCCGATGTTTTAAGAATAAACAACGTCTCTCGTCTCGTTGACAACGACAGTTTCAAAGTCCGTCGGGGTTAATTTTGGACATGGTTCGCACGCGCATGGTTCGGGGAAGGTTAATCATGTCGATCGTCGTGAATCCTACGCTAGAAATAGTAATTTGACTAGACTCTCGCTTGTTCAAAGATGTTGGTGGAAAGCCGACACGAACTTTCCGGAAGAAGCAACGCCACCGCGACCGCAAGTCGCAGACAAATCAAAAGGAGCTCGTAGCCTAGCCGTTTAGTATGATCGAACGTTTTTTCTGTCGGTCAGAGAGAGAGAGAAAGAGAGAGAGAGAGAGAGGTGGTTCGACACGCAACGTCCATTTTTTCAGACGGACGGTACCGTTTTCCTGGCCGTCGATTTTCACGAATAGAACGCGTTGCGAAGGTGTTCCGGGGTGAAGGGTCGCGCGACGGACGTGTTATTCAGACTGAGACTTTTAAACGATTAAGAAAACATAATTCCCTGTTGCCCCCCTCCCATCACCGCCGCCCCGCAGATTTTTAGAGCATGATTTACACAAGGTGTGCGCGTCGCTCGCGCGGCGATTCAATTGTTTCTAAGACACGCACGACGATATCCTCTCTTAGCCGAGCGATTAATAAAAGGGTTGAGGAGAAACGGGGGAGAGACCGGAATGGTGGAAGAACTGTCGACGGAAACCACCCGTATTCTTAGACGAAAAAAACCGTTCTCTTAAGTAAGTCAGTCACTAAGCAATTCGGGACCCGAAAGAAACGTTTTTCAATTAAGTAAACCTAGTTAATTGTAAATCGTAAAGAAACACGTAGAGTTACCGGGAACGGGGCGGAAAGAGTACAATGTGCGCGCGCGTTGTGTTTTCGCGTAGGCCGCGATTACGGGGTCGTTGCTGGTTTCAAACGGCGGACGGGGGGGTAGTAGGGTTTCGGATAAGAAAGAACCATAAATAAGCCTTAAAACGATACTTTTACTCTTTGTATAGAATCTTAACTGGTTAAAATATATTAGACGGTACGTCCAGATCCGAGAGAGAGAGAGAGAAAGAGAAAGAGAGAAAGATAGGAGAGCGTGCACGGGAGATAGAGCGAGAGGGAGAGAGATAAGAAAACTTATTAGAGTCGTTATTAACGGATATTAATTAATTAAGGGATTTAAACGTAATGGTTAATTGTCGAATTAAAGACGTACGACCGCGACACGGTGTATTTCCATTTGGATCTGCAGATACGTATAAGTTTTCAACCCTTGCATTTTCGACCAGCGACCACGAACGCGACGCTCGCGCGATTTTCACGGCCGCGGATACCGCGTGGATCCTCGTCGATCCTTCCGCGGATCTTAAGGAAGAGGCTCGAGACGCAAATGTGACGACCACGACGAACGATTTCCCTTTCGTTCCACTACTTGTTTACCGTTTAATCATAGACACTTAAATAGACCGCGAACGAAGGGAGACTAGAGTACACTCGGGATTTGTATACAAGCGGTCTGCTTGGAGAAACTCAATTAGGAATCACTTTATTCTTATTAGAGACGTATATAAATAAATATATATATATATAAAAATTACATTTAACTGTAAACTGTTCGAGCTCACTCGACGTACACGTGAACAGGATTCAAGAGGCGACGGCCACGGGGTGCTTCTTTGTTCATGATTTCAGATTCGGGGACGAATGTTCGCGTACCAAGAAGGTTTTAATTAATACTCGAACGCCCGGACTTTTCCGAAAAATATATAACTGACTTAATAATCATTTATAATTTTATTTCTTAATTTTTTAAAGCTACTTTTTAAGATACGTTAATTTTTCTATGGACTTTAATGAAAATTTCAATCAATTGTCAGATTAATCGTCAGATGGCTGATATTTAAATAACAATTTTTAGACTCTTCGTCCAAATGGATCCGGACTGGATTGCTGTCCAAATTGTTAATGTCGTACGTAGGATGATTTATAAATTTTGTCCGGAAAGATCGTTCGGAACCAGCGACAGAATTTCGCAGTTTCGTCGAATGGACGTCGCGCGGTTAATATTTTTAGTGGTCTTTTTGTTTGGAAATTCAATTTGCGAACGGAAAGATAACACGGCTGTAGGGCATAGAGACGGGCCAATATTTATTCGAGTTTTTTCATTGCATTGGGACGGGCGGTTCTCCCGGAAGTTGCAATCAATGACTTTGGAAGACCTCGGTACCGAAGTGTCCTCTGTATTCGCATGCACCTAATATTTACTATAGATAACTGTTTGTACTTTAACGTGTAATATTTAATGTTTCGATGTGCATCTATCATATTACGTACCGTAGAAGAAAAGAGAGTAAGAGCGAGCGAGCGAGCGAGAGAGAGAGAGAGAAAGAAAGAGAAAGGAGAGGATAGAGTCTCGCGCGAATATCGTCGAGAGATCTATACAAAAATATATATATATATCTATTATACATATTATATATATATCAGGGTCGGCTGGTGGTTGGAACGAATTTTCAATGACCGTAGTCCGTGTTTAAGGTTTCTTACGTTTTAATTTGCTAAGGCGTGTGTTAATTTAAAATTAGTTGAACGAGACGCGACTTGTCCCGTGCCACGACTGACAATTTTAAGGGAGATGAAAGAGTTGTCGGGACAAACAACAGAAACTAATGAAACGCTAAGAAAAGAAAAAAAAGAAAAAAGAATACAAACACAGAGAAAGTCTGAGAATCGAATTTCACTTTGCTCATTCCAATGACGACGCGTCGGGTCTCTTGAAACGGTCCTAATAAGACTGACACACCTTGTTCTCGGATGAAATAAAGAGGCGAACAAAACCGTTTGAAAAAACAACGTAAAAGTAAAAAAAAAAGAGGAAGAAGCAGTCGATAAGCGAAAACCGACACGAGAGAAATTTGTACAGTAATTGTATGGTTTTATAAATCGATCCTACAGTAAGCTCTAATTTCGTAATTTATAAAACGGTACTCTTAGCTTACGTTAATTGTTATGCGTACGTTCCGCGCGAGTAAAATACGTCCAACGACCACTGCCCTTCTGAGGAAAACATGAAATAAAAATATCGAACAGAACGATGATGATCGAACGAGAAAGATAGAGAGAGAAAGAGAGAGAGGGAAAGAAAAAGAGAGTAAAAAGGGCCCTTTTCCGCGCAGGATATCAAACTACAATCGATCGGCGAACGATCGAGACCGTCGAGGGTCCGCGCTAATTAAACGGAATTAGAAAAGCAAGTTGAATCACTGTACCTTAGATCGCGTTTTTCGGAAACGCCTCTGCTTTTTCTCCTGCGGACAATTAACACACGTCGATCTGGAGGTATTGGCCGCGCCACTTTAGGCTTAGGGTTATTAAAACGTGACAAAGAGAACAAATAAGAAAAAAAAATAACGCGGACGAAGGTAGAGGGGGGCGGGGAAGAGTGCGAGAGAGGGAAAAAAAACTATTAAAGATAAATGAAAAGTGTCAAAATACTGCTACGAGTTATCGAAACTATTTACTAACTATTTACGACTAGTACCACTTAAAAACGAGGAACTCTACTGTTGTTGTTACTATTATTTTCTATTCTAACTAATTAATTAATTAATTAATTAATTAACGGTCACGGATTAACGGAGAGCAAACGGCTTTACTATTCATCACGATGGATAAATCACTATATCTACAGATATTTCTTCGTGAGTACGGTTGCGGGTGAGAGAGTGAGAAAGAAAGAAAGAGAGAGAGAGAAAGGGAGAGAATGTGCGTTATCAGCGGTAGCTTAAGTTTATTAAGGTGAAACGCGTTAGCGTTTAATTGATCGACCGACCGGCGAGTTGTGGGGATGGGATGCAGTGACTGCCGAAAGTAATCAAGCTCGCTGCTGTTCAACAATAAAATTATTCAGCAGAACCTCGATTACACTGTCCTCCAATATCAGAATCATCTGTTATTTATAAATACGTTTTTCCTGTAATCAGCTCAATCGAAGGTGAATCGCACACGAAACGATTTATTCCACAGATCAATAAATATGACATTTCAGTTATATTATTTGAACTGTTCCATTATTTAAACAGTTCAACGTCACTCCGTTTAGCCCGGATAATCGAGGTTCTACCGTACGCGTTGCACTGAATTCTTGAAAATAATTTCACAAGTCCAATGAGACACAAATTTAATGACGACGTCCTCTCAATTTTTGCAGCGAATCGATTAATATTTGCAAAAGTGTACACGCGCGTAACATTTGTATTTTGCTGCGCCGATAAGATCGCTTTGAAAAATCAACTGGAATTAAGTGAAAAACGTGTTCATTCTTTATCGTTTAACCCTTTGCACTCCGAAGAGATTTCTCTCATACCTATCAGGAAGTCTGATCAAATTTTGCCAAAATTGTCGTATTGCTGTACACGGTCGAATTTACATAAAAATGCTTATGCCGCTGAGAAATTTCACAGCAATCTTTGAATAAAATATTTTCTGCTTTTGTATTTACGTATTTCGCACGATCGTTTTACATGCAATGGGTTAAAGTTTACAGTGGCAGGCGTGTCCGAATGCTTTCGTCAGGTGTCGTGTGCATGGAGATGATTAGGCGAGCGTTGTGTGCGAAAGGAATGACGAGGACAGAGAAAGAGAGAGACAGAAAGATAGAGAGAGAGATAGAGAGAGAGAGAGAGAGAGAGAGAGAGAGAGAGCGTGAGAGTGAAAGTTGCAAGAGAGAAAGTTGCGTGAGAGTTTAATCGGTGTTCGAGAGAAAAAGGGGGTTGCTGATGGGAGCGAATGTTGTTGAACGTTGATTCGAAACTGAGAGCACATGCGAGCGGATGCGAGTATAAAAGCAATACTGTGGGAGGCGCGGCGGCTGCAGCTAACGTAAGCGATTAGGGGAACGGACGGGTAGATAGATTAAGAAGCGTAGTAAACAATTTAACCAGAGAATTATTACAATTAATGAAGAAACACGCCTCAACTAATTAGAAGCGAAAGGACGCCGTTTATTAAGGTTATTATCGACTATCATGTTTATTGATTAAAGGGATAAAATAGTTAAAGGCTGTCTAACGTTTAAAACGGTCTAGTTTAACTCGGTGAAAATGACGGGAACGACGAGGGGTGAAGATAAGAGAGGGGAGAAACACTGTTATACCTCCGCCTAAGAGTAGATCGTACGTATCGACGGATCGTAACCGGTTAAGAGCGACTCGATTAATGGGGGAAACAAAGTAAATAAAACAAAATAAGCTAATTAACTATGACATAGATTTTACGGGGTGGGCGGGGTCGAATATACAAGGTGTGATCGAAATGGAACCAAACTCTACCCGATTCGGTTTGATCGCTTTGCCAGCATCTTCTCGAGATCCTTGATTATATCGGTCTGCCAAATTTGATCGAATTGCGAACGTCGTCGCACGTGGCAAATCGAACGGAAGAACAGTGGAAACAGTACAACAATACTAAAGACAATATTACGTTAGTTTCGATTTATTACAACTAGTAAGAAAATACGTGTTTAGACAGTTCCTGGATCTTTTCATTTAATTCAATTTAATTCCATGTCATTTCATTAGATCTCATTCATTTATTCGCGAGAAAAATCCTTCAGTACAAAATAAGATAGGAGAAAACGAACTAAAATATATACAAAGAAGATATTATCGCTTATAAAGATTAGCGAAGTAATTATTGCACAATATGCTGCAACGATAGCTATAGATTTCCTAGGGATTCTTCAATTGTATCTGTTTCATTTAGAATGATTAATTATACTCTTAATACAATTTTGAGATGCATATGTTGCGCGGTATAAAGTAGTGCGCGATTCCAGCGGAGAGAACAAACGGATAATTAGTGGGGATGAAAATATCTTGTAGCCAACGCGGACAACGTTCACTTTGCATAGAAACCCGCAAGTCTAGTGAGATTAACCCCTCAACGCCGGCGCCATATAAGGAAACCTAGTTGTGCCCAAAATAATGTNGAGCGTGAGAGTGAAAGTTGCAAGAGAGAAAGTTGCGTGAGAGTTTAATCGGTGTTCGAGAGAAAAAGGGGGTTGCTGATGGGAGCGAATGTTGTTGAACGTTGATTCGAAACTGAGAGCACATGCGAGCGGATGCGAGTATAAAAGCAATACTGTGGGAGGCGCGGCGGCTGCAGCTAACGTAAGCGATTAGGGGAACGGACGGGTAGATAGATTAAGAAGCGTAGTAAACAATTTAACCAGAGAATTATTACAATTAATGAAGAAACACGCCTCAACTAATTAGAAGCGAAAGGACGCCGTTTATTAAGGTTATTATCGACTATCATGTTTATTGATTAAAGGGATAAAATAGTTAAAGGCTGTCTAACGTTTAAAACGGTCTAGTTTAACTCGGTGAAAATGACGGGAACGACGAGGGGTGAAGATAAGAGAGGGGAGAAACACTGTTATACCTCCGCCTAAGAGTAGATCGTACGTATCGACGGATCGTAACCGGTTAAGAGCGACTCGATTAATGGGGGAAACAAAGTAAATAAAACAAAATAAGCTAATTAACTATGACATAGATTTTACGGGGTGGGCGGGGTCGAATATACAAGGTGTGATCGAAATGGAACCAAACTCTACCCGATTCGGTTTGATCGCTTTGCCAGCATCTTCTCGAGATCCTTGATTATATCGGTCTGCCAAATTTGATCGAATTGCGAACGTCGTCGCACGTGGCAAATCGAACGGAAGAACAGTGGAAACAGTACAACAATACTAAAGACAATATTACGTTAGTTTCGATTTATTACAACTAGTAAGAAAATACGTGTTTAGACAGTTCCTGGATCTTTTCATTTAATTCAATTTAATTCCATGTCATTTCATTAGATCTCATTCATTTATTCGCGAGAAAAATCCTTCAGTACAAAATAAGATAGGAGAAAACGAACTAAAATATATACAAAGAAGATATTATCGCTTATAAAGATTAGCGAAGTAATTATTGCACAATATGCTGCAACGATAGCTATAGATTTCCTAGGGATTCTTCAATTGTATCTGTTTCATTTAGAATGATTAATTATACTCTTAATACAATTTTGAGATGCATATGTTGCGCGGTATAAAGTAGTGCGCGATTCCAGCGGAGAGAACAAACGGATAATTAGTGGGGATGAAAATATCTTGTAGCCAACGCGGACAACGTTCACTTTGCATAGAAACCCGCAAGTCTAGTGAGATTAACCCCTCAACGCCGGCGCCATATAAGGAAACCTAGTTGTGCCCAAAATAATGTACTACAATTATACCATATAATAATAATAATAATAATAAATAAATAAATAAATAATACCTTACAAATTTTTTATTAATGTATTTATACGATAATAAGGTTATGTTAATGTTATAAAACGAATGTCGTAACGTTAATGTTATTAAGATTAGAACGTTATTTTCGTATCAATGTATGAAATATACAGATCCGTATTTCGTACGGGGTGCCGACGTGTTGCGGGGTTGATAAATGGCGAGAACGGACGAAGAGAGACGCCCGCGGCTCGATGATATTTGGCATACTAATGTTCAAAGGTGTAGAACGTCGTCTCGCAAATTCGATTTAACACGGGATCAGTTCCCAAGGGGAACCGACGGGGTTTGGTTTCTTTCTGATCGATAAATACTCGAAAGTACACCGAAAGTGCTACCAAGGGAGAAACCACTAAATCGAATCGTTTAAATTCGGTCTATCCTCAAAGAGTGACATACCACTAAGCCTTTCATTTTCGAATCGTTTCGAATCGTTTTATTGTTTTCCAATGTCCGTTTGGTCAAGAGTCTAAATGCCACGCGATTAGTCGTCGTCGTGGGAAGAGATCTGCGAGAAAGGGGTGAGCAGAATAGGCGAAGAGTGAGAGTGTCGGGGGAGAAAAAGAGTATGCGTGCGAGGGAGCAAATGACAGATACAATAAACCCAGACGACGTTTGTAGTTAAATCGAGATAAATTATTGATTAAGGGATAAGTTGTGTACAAATGTATTATAAATTAACGATTATCCTCAGAGTACCTTAAACGCTGAAAGACGAGAGAACGAGTGTAAGTGGAAGAAAGAGAGACAGAAAGAGTGTCAAAGAGTGTCAAAATGTGTGTGCGCGTGTGTGAAAGAAAGAGAGAGAGAAGAGAGCGCGATAGAAAGAAAGAGATTTATGCAAAAGATATTATTAAACGAAGGAAACGGAGTCACCTCAATATTATGTAGAATTTTCTCCAAGCCCGATCGTACCAATGTTAAGGAGATCGTGGTTCCCGGTGCCGCGAAGGGACACTCGTAGGATCAATAATTAAGGTATCGATTAATTATCTAATTAATTAATTAAAGCGTATAAAAACTCGACGTTAAGAACCGTTACGTAGGAACGTATTTAACAGATAGGGGATGCCGCGACGAGATGTTTTTTAACGAAAGCTAAACAAACAAACAAACAAATAAATAAACAAACTAACAAACTAACTAACTAAATAACTAACTAAACAAAATGCCAACCATTGTGTTCTCGTGAGAATCATAATTATTCCGTAAATCTTAAGTGACAAAAGTCGTATCTAAGTCGTTGATTAGTCGTTGTAATTTTAATTGTTTCGTTAGGGAGAGACAGAGAGCAAGCGTGAACGGGGGATAGGGAGAGAATAGAGTGTGTGTTTGGAAGAAAGAGAGAGAGAGAAAGAGAAAGAAAGAAAGAAAGAAAGAAAGAGGGAAAGCGAGAGGGAGACTGAAAGCGTTCGAAATGCCGGTTACTCGCTGAACGAAGCACGTGTGAACGTGATGCAGAGTCAAGAAAGGTGAGAATGCATGAAAATGGAATGATTGGTCGAAAGATGAGAGAAAGAGAGAGTGAGACGAAGAGAGACTGTCATGAAAAGAAGAGAGCGAGCGAGAGAGAAAGAGAGATAGGGACGTGTTTGCGATCGTAATTGGGCGTGCAGAGAAGAAAAGCGGAAAGAAAAATTCTGGGACGTGCAAACGACTGGGACGCACGGTGACGTCGACGAACAAAGGAAGAAAAAAGAAACACATGTAGTTTAATAAACAAATGGAACATAGTTCGTACGCGGTGTAGAAAGCGGCGCGTTTCACCGGCGCGCCGCGACCAGGTTTAAGGATTGCCAAATCTCTTTAATAAGTATCGAGACAAATGTAAAACTTTATTAAGCCGCATTATACGTGTGTATAGTGGATAGGGAGTACTCGCAGTTAAATGAATCATAGATAAACCGTTAGTGCTTAACGCGAACAAAAAAAAAAAATAAGAAAACAAAATAAGATACAAGATGTGATGAAAGGAGTGCCGGCGCAATATCTCCAGATTGAATCTACACTCGCGAACACGCACACGAGACACAAAAGACACCTACACGCGAAACAACCCCCATCCCCACCCCTCCGGAAACTTCCGAGTTCTCGTTCACGCGAATCTCTCGACCCGAATGATTTCAGTATTTTATACTGTACGCCGTGTATACCTATTGTACTGCTGCACACCGACACACACACACGCAGATACATACACACAGAGACACACACACACGTATATAACAGACGAAACGTATAAAGGGAGAAAGGGACAGAAGCCCGAGTAGTTTAACTAGCGAGCTAACGATCGTTATCTAATTTTAGCGACATTAGTTTATCCGAGACGAATGGGCCGGCGAGATCGGCGAACGAGAAATAGATCGATCGAGGAAGGGGTGGATCGAGAGCGATTATCGATTCGCGAGGCGGTTTCTCAGGCGAGCCACGGAAAGGGAGGGCCTTTGTAGATGTTAGTAGCTGCGAATTGTTTGGGGTGGTTGGGGGTGTCTAGTGAGAACGGATGCCGTGGCACGGCGAACAAAACGAGAGAGAGGAAACAGCCCTCGCGCGGTTTGTTCGCCGAAATTCGGCCGGGGTTTGGCGGGGGGACGCTGGAAAATACGGTGGGAAAGAAAGACGAACACGAGAACAGGGAGGGCGAGGGTAATGGGAGGGAGCGGAGGGATAGAGTTCACCACTGTTTTTCGTTGGCGGGAACGCGAAAGCGCGAGCTCTCTCGGCCCGAGAGAGATTCGCGGCGTTTCGATAATTTTTCACGATTCTGGCACGAAACCGCAGAGAAACGGGTTTAGAGAGGGAAATGAAGGGGCGAACCCGGGGAAAGTCGGAGAGATTCGATCGGGGAGAGGTTTTTCTTTTTCTTGACGAATCGTCGATGTTTATAAGCCTTTTGTCACGTATATTTTTATTTTTATTTTTTTTTTAATTTGTCGCTGGAGAACACCTTGTTTACCGGAAACGGTAGAACACACCTTGACTCCTTAACTCGCTCCCCTCACTCCCAACGACACGTGAAAAACAGAACAGTACTACTATTATTGCTACTGTACTATTACTACTACTACTACTACTACTACTACTACTACTACTACTACTACTACTACTACTACTACTACTACTACTACTACTACTACTACTACTACTACTACTACTACTACTACTACTACTACTACTACTACTACTACTACTACTACTACTACTACTACTACTACTACTACTACTACTACTACTACTACTACTACTACTACTACTACTACTACTACTACTACTACTACTACTACTACTACTACTACTACTACTACTACTACTACTACTACTACTACTACTACTACTACTACTACTACTACTACTACTACTACTACTACTACTACTACTACTACTACTACTACTACTACTACTACTACTACTACTACTACTACTACTACTACTACTACTACTACTACTACTACTACTACTACTACTACTACTACTACTACTACTACTACTACTACTACTACTACTACTACTACTACTACTACTACTACTACTACTACTACTACTACTACTACTACTACTACTACTACTACTACTACTACTACTACTACTACTACTACTACTACTACTACTACTACTACTACTACTACTACTACTACTACTACTACTACTACTACTACTACTACTACTACTACTACTACTACTACTACTACTACTACTACTACTACTACTACTACTACTACTACTACTACTACTACTACTACTACTACTACTACTACTACTACTACTACTACTACTACTACTACTACTACTACTACTACTACTACTACTACTACTACTACTACTACTACTACTACTACTACTACTACTACTACTACTACTACTACTACTACTACTACTACTACTACTACTACTACTACTACTACTACTACTACTACTACTACTACTACTACTACTACTACTACTACTACTACTACTACTACTACTACTACTACTACTACTACTACTACTACTACTACTACTACTACTACTACTACTACTACTACTACTACTACTACTACTACTACTACTACTACTACTACTACTACTACTACTACTACTACTACCACTACTACTACTACCACTACCACTACTACTACTACTACTACCACTACTACTGCTGCTACTATTATAATATTACTGCTATCTATTATTAATTATTATTAATTAATTACGATTAATTATTGTCATTATTATTATTATTACTATTATTACTCATCAAGTACACGCATTCGGACACACGAACGCGTACACACAAGCATACACACAGACACGTACACACATACATACACAATATATATATAAAATATATATAATATATATTAATATACTTAACGGTGTTTCTAGTGGATTAATTGATTAATTGATACTTAAGATATTATATTAATAATATTAATAATAACGATTATAAATGATGATGATGACGATGATGATTATGATGACGATGACGATGATGATGATGATATATAATTATATATATATATATAAATATATATAATTTTTCCTATTTCTTCATATTTTTCATATTCTTGTTAGAAACTATTAAGTGGCTAGCTTAAGTATCGTAGATTATCTGTGTAATCATGGTAAGTAACCAGAGCATGAGACCAGATAGATAAGGACAATGTTGTTACACGGTCAGGAAACTATGAAAGATTATAATCTAGTGGAAAATTAATAATATAATATACACATCAGGACCTGGTAGTTCAATTTTCGTTCTCGCGGCGTACACGGCCGCTGCGCGCCATTATTCACGAGCTTACCATTCGCCTTCATCCTACGCATCATCTCCTCTCATAACTGCTTCAATCTGTTCGGAAATATTAATTTATTCGGCCGACCACTCGATCCCTTCGGAATTCTCGCTAGACCATTTTAATTATCGACAAGCTCTTCTCTCTAACGGCAGCCGATTTTCAGTTCCCGATCTTTTTTCCACGAAATCATATTTTTCAACGTTTCTTTCCCGCGATCCACGATTTTATTAGAAATTCTGGCTTCGGCGCGTGCTACACGAAGAGAGGGTAGGTTTACTTGAAAATGGCTGACGCAGCCTCTATAAAGTTAATATTAGGTCGTCCCATAAGTTCGCGCCTCGAACTTATATATTTTTTGGAAATGTGTTTATTTTTTCTCTAGTTACACACAACCTCGCGTTTTTTCTTTAAAGGAAATAATTCAATGGATTTCTTAATTCAGGCATACACTGTGATGAAAGTGGCGAATTTCAGTCTTGCTGTTCTTATATTTTGCCGACGAAATCTCGTCCCTTACCAAGCTAACCTAAAAATTGTATATTAGCGTCCACTTTATCTTGCACTTTATCTATGCGTAACTTCATAGATATTTTACGTTTCTTTCGTTTTCTGTAAACGTTCTTCTCTGTCGCAACTGAACAGATGTCTTCATTGTTTACTAATGGATTTTTCCCTCGTATAGCGAATAATTAACTAAACTAGCCAGTCTCGGTGTTAACATTTTGATTGCCACGGCAACGAAATTGACGTACAGTGTTCGATCGAACTTAAATTGAAAAATTAAGTTACGTGACATGAATTACTGTTTCAACATTTTCTTGTCATTTCTACACATTCTTTCGTTGATCCGCGTCAAATTAGAAAAATATAAGAAATCAATTTTCAAAACTAGGATGACCTAAGAACTTTCAAAGAGACAGTTTCCAAAGAGACATCACGTCCCGCGATCTCCAGCCAAAATTTCGTGCGCCCTAATTAAAGCTTGATCCGCCGCCGTTTATTTCGAAGTAATGTCATCGCACGAACCGTGCTGCGAACCCTTTCTTTCGTCCATCGAGCGTCCAGGGAGGTCCTCCGCCACCTAATCTGCTCCTTTATTTCCCGCAGACACAATCCCGATCCCAAAGTTCAAAAGCGCTGAAACCGGCAGCCCGACCTTCATCCCTAACGGAGACGCAGCCCCGGGTCCCCAGCGATTCTCCCTGGCCCAGCACTTCAATTACCACCCTTACAGGCGTTAGTGAACCACCTGACCAAAGACACAGACTAAAAACCACCCCGCTTCCCTTGAATCACGAGAATAGAGAAGAATATCGATACGTAGGTGGGGCGATGCTTTGCGAAAGAATGGCAAAGAGAGAACGAGCGAGAGAGAGAGAGAGAGCGAGAGAGATAGAGATAGAGAAAGATAGTGAGAGAGGGAGAAAGAAAGAAAGAAAGAGATCGATTCTATCGACACACGGAAACAAATTGACTTCCTAGAGGCCACTGTCGTTCGTCAACCCTCTGTGTAGCCCGTAAGACGATTTATCGATTAAGCATTTAGATAAGTTACGTGCAAGTGACGGCGTGTACGAGCACCTTTTAAAAATTAAGATTAATTAAGGCCGCCAATTTAGCTGTACGGGAACGATTAATCTATATAGACCATTAAATTTTATCATTCGATCTGGAACGTTATTATTTCGTAGCTGCTAAGCTATACGCTTCTCGCATTGTTTTTGCTGCCGATCCGTCTACGCGGACACGGAATTCGATAGAATATATAATATATATATAGCGTAGTCCCTAGAATTATTTGATAAGCGCAGCCGCGGAATACGGAGCGATGAACCAGGGGTGTTCCGGTCCCCCCTAAACTTTCTCGAACGTGTTTCTTCGTAGTCTCGCCTCGGCTTGAATCCCATTAAACGCGTGGCGACGGATTCGTGTCTCTCTTGGAAACAGCTGGGACCGCAACGAGAGAGAGTCCTAGCCCGCGAGAAACTTTCTCGGTTTAGCCACGGGAAGTTCGCCGTGCACGTCGGTCGCGACACATTGCAACGGCTACTTTTACGATAATTATTAAGGTCCTGATGTATATGCCATAGACACGTACTCTCTGTACCGAAGATTGTAACATGGGCAAGACACGTGTGTGAGCGAGAGGAAGAGTGTGTGTGAGAGAGACAGTGA